AGAGGGAGAAGCAGGCTTCCCGCTGAGCAGGGAGCCTGATGCGGGGCTCGATCCCAGGACCCTGGGATCATGACCTGAGCCGAAGGCAGCTGCTTAACCGACTGAGCCACCCAGGGGCCCCCTGTATTGTCAGTATTTTTTATTTTAATTATTCTATAATTTGGAAAGCAAATAAATAGCTCTATTTTGATGAGAGAACTACCTAAAATTTTATCTTAATTTATTTGGTTATCTCTTTAGATATAAGGGATGCATGCCCATTTGGTAAAATTATGAAGAAAAGCAACAAACTGATAAGGATAAAAGTATATAGTGGTAACTTGTGGTGGAAAGGGAGGCAGATGTCATCCATTAGGCTCACGAGGGGCTCTAAGATACTGACGACGCATTATTTAGGAAGCAGGATGTTGGGCACAGGTGGTCTGTTTTAGTATTATATCTGAAACTATAACCATGTGTTTGATACACTTCATAATTAATTTTAAAAATGTCTGAGCATATAAAACACATAAAATCCTCAAAGTAATGCAGAAAAATATGCTAAAACCACTTCTTTCAAGAGTTCAAGTACCGTGAGTTAAAAACTTAAAATAAAAGCATTTTGTAGAATTTGAACATGAGACTTTCTTAAAGCTTGTTTAAAACTAAAATACTTTCTTTAATATATCTGTGCTTGTGTACATCTCATAGGCCAAAATTGCTGATGGGCTATCCAATTCATTAGTGAGTTTGTTTCTTTCCAGAAGCATCAACCTGTACACAGAAGGGCTGGTCATGGTAAGACATTTCTGAATCACTGGCAAAGAGTAGCTTCTGGAAACCATGACCAGAACTCGACTTTGTTTAAGAAGCACATTGAATGTATCATCTTTACTAGTCACAAATTCTTAGACACACCCCAGGGCACAATCATGACTATACAACTCTTCAGCAGCCTTTCCTATTGCCACCAACACTTGTAAGGAGAATGTTTACCTGTGACAACACTGGGAATTTTGGAGAGAAAGCTCTTGACTGTTCTGATGGGCACACCACCTGTCTTGTCATCTTGCATCTTTGTAATGATGTCTTCAATCTGAAAGAGGATAAAGAAGTGTCATTTCTTCCCATAAAATAATAGTTTATTAATAGCCAAAAGGAACATGTATGAACATGTATGAACAACAGATACAAAAAAAAGCCTCCATCTAGACAGCCAATAAACGTAGTAGCAGGATCTGCAATAAACCAAGCACTGGGAGTGGGTGGGGAGGCCATGAGGTTATATATAAGAGCATAAAGCATAGTCTACAAGAACAGACTCCTAGATCAAGAAGGTAAGGAAGGAGAAATATTAGGATTCCTAATGAAACCCAACTTGTAATTCAATATGCAATGAAATTCCTCCTTTCCCCCAAATTTGGTTTATACATGGGCTGAACAATATGAACCATCTGGCCTTTGGGACCAGTGCAAGATCCAGGCAGAATCACACAGGAGAAAAATACATACTGTAAATTAAGACATGGAAAGTTCTAATCCAGAGAAATTAGAGGACAGGTTTCAGTGGTTGGTTGTAGTGGTGTGAGGGTGGTCACCTTATGCCAGGATTAAAGTGGAACAAGGACAGAATCTTCTCCTTTTGGACTAAAGAAGACCACACTGCCAAAAGAAAGTCTATGGTGGGCTGTGGCTTGAAGCCAGTGAGATTTTATTAATAAAACAAGATATTATGTATATATGTTGAACACAGAACTGAGAGAGAAGATGGATTACTAGGGATGTAGGTGCATATATTGGGAAACCAATTTGTAGCTAAGAATTTACAAGCCAGATGTAATTTCCTGGGCAGAAAGCTTCAGAATAGGATACAGAACAATCTGTGACAAGGACATAGATCTTATTGTTCGGGGACTTGGGGGTAAGGAGCAACTGGAAAAGGGGAGAAGATGATGTTTAGTTTTATCACACATCTTGTTCCCCTAAGCAACAGAATATCTGTGAAACACCAGGATGATCCTCTGAGTGCATCCATAAAAGATGCACATAACTTTAAGTCTAGAGATTTAAAACTCGAGCCCATCTAGTCTAACATAGTTGTATTGCAATTTGAGGTTGAATTTCTCGAAGTCACATGGCAACTTGTTTGATAGATATGAATACGTCATTAGAGACTAGGTTAGGATACAGAATAACTTAATAATAATATACAATAGCTAAAATATATTAAGAATTTACTATGTGCCAGGTATTATTCTAAGTATATACACATATTATCCTATTTCATCTTCATGATTACTTCACAAGCTAGATTCCACTGTTATCCTCATTTTTCAGGTATCAAATCAGGGTAAATCAGGTTAGGTTTTTCTAACAAATAACCCTCAAAATCACAATGGCTGAGTACAACCAAGTTTATTTCTCTCTCAGGCTTCAAGTCTATCACAGGTCACCAGGGGGACTCTGCTCATTGTAGTTACTCTGAGACCCCAGGCTGATGGAACAGCCACCATCTTGAATGTTGCTCATCATTGTGCTAGAGGGACAAGAGAGAATTCTGGAGAATCTTGCATTGATTATTAAATGTTATAGCCAAGAAGTTATATATAACACCTTTGCTCACAATTCTTTAGCCAGAACTAGTTCTATGGCACCATGCTACCACAAAGGAGCCAGGGGGTCCAGTTTTCTGGGTGCCAGCAGGAAAGGGGAACTGACCATCTGTGAGCAGCACCAATGACCACCACAGAAGTTAAACAACCGTCTCAAAGTCACACAGCTACCCAGTTGCGTTTAAACACAGCCACAGACTTCAGGGCTCAGGTTACTAACTCCTGGGCTGTGCTACCACTCAATAAGATTCCCAGAAAAGCAGTCAAGCAGGAAGACCACTTTCCTTTGGCTATTTCTGGATTTTCCTGAGAAGTAGTGATAATGAGAAAGAATCTTAAGCTCCTGGCCCTTTGGGGAGTGGATGGATATATCATGCTAAGAATAAAGGTTAGTCTCTGAAGACCTGCATTCTGTTAAAAGACAGGATAAGAAGACTTTTCATCCACATTCATATTAATCATCTCAGCTAGTGCCCTGCCTCACTGCCCCTAAACTTAACCCAATGATTTAGAGTAGTCTGAATATTCCTTACTGACAGTCAAGGCGAGTTATTACTAGAAAAAAATGGTCATATTTTCAAAGTAATCTATGCTTTCGATCCGGTGTGCTATCTGAAACCACATATATCAGTTACGTTGACGCTTTTTATAGAATGGACTCAAAATCACTGGGAATTGGAGGGAAGCCAATATTTCAATTCAGTTAGACTCCTGACTTGCCATTAGATGACAGTAATTTCCAGTCTCTGCTGACGTGGGCTGGATTTAAGGACTGGCTGTGCTGAGGAATGCTCCACAATTCTTTTCTTCTATGCTCTGTGTAGTCATTTCATCACACCACCGAATTTTAAAAGGATGTATTTATTAAAGAAGACCTATCTTCTCATGTGGGTTCACAATGTGCCAAGAGGTATATTATTTATCAGAGGTTACAGCCAGATCCAGAGGACAACCCCCTTAAGTGACCAGAAAGGGAATTACATTGCAGCAATAGTTTACAACGCCAGAGGTGTTGAAGAATGTTCATTGGTCCCCAATTCTCGACTTCTCCATAGTATTAATATTTACCCAATTCTATGCCCTGGCCTCACAGTGGGCGGAGAGTCTGCCCCTTGACTTTTGGGCTTGGCCATGTGACTTGCCTGGCTAATGGGAGGATACTGAACATCATGTGAGCAGAGGCTTTCAATGTACCTGCATGGTCATGCTCACCCTCTTCTCTTGCCCTCCTGTATCAGATAGTTTTTGTTCCAAGGAGGGTGAGAGACATCTGGAGCAGAAGGGACCCAACCTACAGCTAGATAGGTCAAACCTCAGTTGATGTGCCCACTCAGGAGCTTATTGTTGTAATCCCCTGAGTTTGGGTGGTTTGCTATGCAGAAAAATTGTGGCTATAGCTTCCTGATACAATGGGGCTCTAAAATAAATGCATGGATCAGAAATTGCTGAAGCCACACAAATACTTAGTAATAAGAATCAATGAGTCCTTGAGGTGGGGCATCCTAAAATCCAGTGCTTTTTAAGGATGCAGAAATTCCAATTATACCATCCACCATTTACTTAAAAATTCTTAGGGCCTATACTCTTCTGTAGCCCATTCTGTTGTGTTAGGAAAATTTGTAATAGCTGAGTTTGATTCTGGAGGTTGGTGCTCTGCAACATCAGCTAATAATACTACTTCCGAATTTTTTTTGGTCATGGTTTCTGGTGAAATGCTAAGAGTACCGACCTACCAAAAAATCCAAAGTGGGCTCCCAGGGGTTTATATACATTATAATGGCAAGCATTTTCAGAATGCCTACATATGATCAACGCTGCCCTTGGTATTGTTTAAAATAAAGTATATAATTTATTTCTCAGTCTTAAAAGTTACTTAGTAAAGATGTTGAAATTTAGGCTGAGAAAGGTTAGATTTACCCAAGGACAAATGGCTAATAAGTGGCAAAGCCCAAATTCTTGTCCAACTCTTCTTGACTCTAATGATGCCCAAGCTCCACCAAACCCAAGATTCACCTTATTTTCAACCAGTGTCTGCTGACATGCTCTTCAAATACAAGGCACTTAATACCGTTTGCATTGAAGGGGAAGTTTAGCTCAGTCCTAAGGGGGTGGAAAAGGAAAGAGAGAAATCGATCCAGATAATCAGATTATCAACCATCTCAGGATTTATTTCGGTCCAATGACTGCTGATGCCTAGCTGCTCTGTGTTTTTTCTCTCTTTGTCCCGGAGACTTGGTGAGATTTATCTTCTACTTGTAGATCACAGCTCCTGGGACTGGGGAGATGGGAAAGTATCTACTTATAGTTTCTTGGCTATTCAGTCCCATCTAAATTTTAATACTTTTGTTCCTGGAGAAGAGCAACATCAATTCCCTGACACCCTTTAATATGAAACTCCGTGTCATGAGGGAGAATGTTGGACCTCAGTTTCCCTGTGCCAATCAATACGGCCCTTATTTGACAGCGAGTGATGCAAAAAACCTCTTTGGCCCGCTCAGCAGGTTCTGCCTGGATGAGTCCCAACAACCAGGACACCCTCCTTCAAAGGAGCTCAAAACTCAGCACTGACATGCAGGTAGAACATTCTTCCAAACAGCAGGACAAATGGAAACCATTACACCATAGGGTGGGTTTCCTTTGAACTGAGGAATGTCATGAGACAGTAGACAGAATTCACTGATAGAGCTGTTGGGGGTAAGAGAGGGGTGAGGAGAAGCAACCGTCTCTCCACAAAGTGAGGCCACAGCAGGACCGCAGGAAGAACCCTGGTCTGAGGTCCAGGAGAAATGTTAGCCTCAGCTTCACTGATTTGCTGTGTCAACCCTGGACAAGTTCCTTAACCTCTCTGGACGTTACTGCCCTCATCTCTACGGTGAGAGGCCCGGTCGCTAAACGAAGATTTCTAGTTCTAAGACACAAGAGGCTTCTCCGACTTGACAAATGCAAAGCTGTGTCTGCAAGGAAAGATCAGGACGGGCAGTCAGGCCTCTGGGTCCCCATTCTCCATGCTGCCATCTGCCTGGTGGCTCAGAACCACGCAGAACCCTTCCCTGGGCTGAGGTGCAAGGTGGCATGCTGAGCAGGACCGGGGAGTTTTGATGTTTTCAGAAATCATTTTGGACAAGTGGCATTAGAAGCCAGAGAGAGACATGATCCAAAGAGGCCCTGACACTGTTCCTTACTGACCAGTCCATGCCTGCTCATACAGATGGCGCTCCTAACAGGAAGGACAAAGGGCCAATGTTAGTTTTGTTTGTGTAAATTAATTATCCAGTGAACCAATTTATTTAGCCTGTCCAATTTTTCCTCAGTGGAAGATTTAAAAAACTTCAAGAATAGGCAAACTATATTACTATTATTTAAAAAATATATATATATCCACCACAACTTTAGCAAAAAATGTATGCCTCAGGCATGAAGTTCTTTTTTATTGAAGCATTTCATCTTGACTTTGCCATCAATTGCCTATTTCTCACTACTAATG